TACTACAGGGTATACGTTTGTCAGTATTAAGTCTACTCGTGAATGAAATTTCTTTGAAAAACTGGCTCGGCTGAGACAATTATTTTTTCTTTTTTCTTTCTTTTTTCCAGGAAATAAAGGATGAGGAGGCCTTCATTCTTATATAGGTAATGTTAATGTACATAGATAGTGTTAGTAACGGCAAGCTCTTTTCTACTGGAGATGGAGAGTTTTCAAAGTGACAGAATTAATGGGAAACACGAAACAGGTGAAGCGTTCGAAGATAAAGTAAACATTGGTAAAATGATTAGAGTTACTTGGCTAGTGATAAGTACTGATCACTCGCAATTTTATATACGCAAGACGTTAAGAAAGTATAGTTCGTTCTTGGAGGCACAGATTTATGTAACTACCATACACGCTAAAAAATGTCGAAGGAAGGAGAGAACTACCTTTTGCATGCATACTGAGAGACATTGTCTGTATAAAGCTGGTTCATAGGTCCTGCAAACATTACCACAATAATATATAGAGTATTCCCTTCTTAGAGATACCGTGTAAGGGTGTAATCCTATTTACCATTAAAATCTCAATTCTGAAACTTTACAGCTTTGTAAGTAGCTGTCTAATAATTTTTCACATTAAGTTCGATGCTATTGGAATAAATTTCCAATTCAAAAAAGAAATTCGCTAGTAATTTGTATCTTTGCACCTTGCACGATCCTCCCTCTAAATTTTGAGATCGAAAGGATCGATACCGAGGTTTTCTTCAATTCTTATTCAGAAAACACCCCTACAGATAAACAATTCCGTAAGCACGTACAAAAGTAACTAACAGCTGCGCACGTAAGCTTTTTTTTTTTCTCAGCTAAAACACAAAACATGTAATGTGAGATCACTGAGCGAAGCGAACAATTGAAAATTGTGAAAAACGAGAAACAGACTGTGCATGCAAAATGTAGGCACTTATGAATGATGTACTTGTGGTGAATCATGTAACATCAGAGGCGATATTAAAAATTAAATATTCGTTCAATTGTGTCAAACTTATCCTAGTGTCTAAATAGATATTTTCTAAATAACCTTTTTTAACCAATCTTCTCATTTCTCTACTACTGGACAGCTGATTAAAGAAACGTCATGCACGTCACGCAACAGGCAAACGAAGTACAATTGAAACAAAAGCAAATCGACTTTAGTAACATTTGTGTTAATTCATGAAACAAACACTGATCTCAAATTTCTCAAACACAGCTCCTACACGTCATGTTTTTCTCCCTTGGGTCTTCATAAACTTTCCACTTCGTTATGTACATAAAAAGAAGAAACATGCAGAACTTGGATTAACAACAACTCAGTACCGAATACTCACCTGGTTGACCGATTCCAGAAGACTTCCCAGGCTGTTTTGACTTTCCACGTCCTTCCATCGATCCCTAGGCCCCCTGAAACCTTGCTGCTGCTCGTCCTTTCTATGATAACCTTCGTTATGATCCAGCTTGATCTTCTTCGCCCCTCTGAGCTCATTCTCCGTCGTGGCTTTCAGCCTGGAGCAACACTCGACGAACAGCTCCTCGTCGAAATTCAGGACTTTGCCCTGTCTCGGCTTTGCGGTCTCTATCTCTTGCGGCACGTCAAGAGCGTTGTCCTCTATGGCGTCAGTAGGCGCGATGGTGACCACCTCGCTCTTGTGGCTCGAGCAAGGAGACCTGATCACGATCTTCTCCCCCGAAAATTCGCTGGAGCTCTTCCTCGTCACGGTGTCGTTCGCAGTTAGATTTTCATCCTCCTCTTCGTTCTCGCTGTTGGAGCTGGTGTCGACGGAGCTTCTGGGTGTCCTGCAGACGAACAACGGAGAGATCCGCCCGTGGCCCGTGTCCTCGTCCTCCTCGTCGTCCACGTCAGAGTCTCTGGTGGTCTGCGAGTTTCTGTCCATGCTCGGGGACCTGTTTCTCACGCTACTGGGCGCCAGACTGCTGCAACTGTGCGAAGACTCTTCCAAGTCAACGGATAGTCTGTTGATCAGTTGACTTCTTTCCCGATGATGAACATCCTTCATGAGACTGTCCTCCTCGTCGTCTGAATCTTTCGGATTCTTCGGAGCCTTCTTCTCCGCCACTAGATCCTTCCAGCTCTCCTCCTCGCTCTTACCTTTGCCTCTCTTGGTGTCCGACAGTTTTCTCCTCTTTGCCATCTTCTGATCGTCCTCCGTGGTGTCCTCCAAAGGCGCCATCTTGGAAGAATCTTCGTCGTAGTTGAAGGACCCGTAGCCGCTGTCCTTGATCGTCAGATCGGGTTTACCTTGATTCCTCAGTCCATAATTTGGCTCCTTGTGCTTCGATCTCTGACTCTTGTCGACGTTGGTCTCGGTGAAGTCGTCCTCGAAGGTCCTCGAGATCAGTTCCTCCGCCCTCTTCTTGCTGAGCCGGCACTTGGTCGCCGGCAGGTGCAAGAAATAACTGTTCGACGCTTCTGTGTCATGTTTTTTCTTGTTGTTCGAGCTCTTTGATCTCGCGTGTCTCCCGGAATATTGCTCGTCTACCTCGTTCTCCTGGTATACCAGGTTCTTCTCCTTGGCTCTGTCGGAGGAAGAGTTCTTCTTCGATCTTTTCCCAGGACGTTTCCTCGGACTGGAGAGCGTAGATGACGAGACCGAGTGTCTCTTCTCGCTCGTGCAATCCTTAGCTCTCGCTTCGTTGGTACCGGAATACTTGAAACACGTTCTAGATATGTCCGAGTCGTCCTCCGACTTGGACACCCAGTCGTTCAGCACCTCCTTCACTTTGTCCGCCTTCTCGCCGCCGAAGACTCTGCGGAACACGCTCTTCACGATCTTGCTCTTGTTCTGAGACTCGGCCTCGTCCTCGTTCTCGCTGTCATCGCTCTCGCTGGTCAGATCGGCGAGCTTGCTCCTGATCGTAGACTTCCTGCTTCTGGCTCTCCTGTGGTTGTCCTTGGCGGTCGAGTATCTGTGGCTTTTAATGGTCTTCTTGCCTGAATTTTGGCGATCGCTGGCGCTCGATTTTCGACCAACGTTACCGATAATTTCTGATTCCACCTCGTTGCAACATTCTTTCTCGTTCGAAACGTTTCTCATCGATGGAACTGCCTCGCTGTTCTCCGACTCCGACGAGATCTTCGAGTCTTTGTCAGAGTTGTCCTCCACCGTCTTCGTCGCTTCTTCCTCCGACGCGATCTTCGTCTGTTTGTCGTTGACGTTCGAATCTTTGTCGTCGGGTTTCTCGTTCTCGATTAGTTCGTTCGCGCGTGAGGAATCGCCATCGATCGTGCGTTCGTTTGCAGTGGGTCCGGTGTTTTCCACCTTCGCCTCGAGTTTCGACTCGTTCGCAGGATCTTTCAGAACGTCCGTGGAACAGGGAAGCTCCTTTATCTGATCCTCGTACGCGTCCAACTTTTGTTCTCTCTCTAGTAAAATTTGCGACAGTGGTTTGTCTGCTAGACTGGAGGACGACGAAGCTTCATCATCGTCTATAGATTCCAAAGATTTGAGTCTGTCCTCTGATGGTACACTCTGTTCCTCAGAGACTTGTTGTTGTTTCAGAGTAGTTTCTTCCGTGAGTTCTGGCGCTGGATTTTCTTGAAGTTTCTTACTTTCCAACTCTTCCGACTCGTCAGGTTGTTCACATACATTTTGATTCTCTAATGATTTGAGGCTAGAGATACTGTCATTTGTAATAGAATTCTCTTCCAAACGCTCTAACTTTTCGTCTGTGTTAAATCCGCAATTGGCAGAGTCCTCCGTTGATTCTGAAAATTTCGTTGCTAGCTCATTCGACGCTAATTGAGTCTGATCAATTTTGGGTCTGGGACCTAAGCTCTTCGAATTGTTCTCCGTTTCCTCCGAGTGTCTCTTGGCACTGCCTCTCTTGGATCTCTCGTGACGTGGCGTTTTCACCAACTCATTCTGCTTCTCGTTTTCTGCCTGTTGATCCTTCACGTTCTCCAGTGTTCCCGCACTTCCTTCCGTTACTTTTTGCACTTTGGATACAACGTTCAGTTCGTCGATGTTCTCCAAACTCTTTCTCCTTCTTCTCTGATTCTCGCAAGGGGTCGAGCTCCTCGAGTCTTCGTCGAATCCCTCTGTTCTCGACTCGACGTAATTGCAATCCTCAAGCGATTCGGCTCGCACGCTCTCGTAATTTGTCCCGGAATTGCGATTCACGTTCTCGGATTTCTTGCCGAACGCGCTCGAGTAGTTCACGTCGAAACTCTTATTGCACTTGTCAAGATTAGTGTCCTTACAGACTTCGATTCCGCGTTTGTTTATGGTGAGTTTCAGACTCAAACGTTCGTACGGTTGACTCTTCTCTGTGTCGTCCAGTCTGACACTCGGGAAATCGTCGTTCCTTTTCTCAGGCTCTAACTTGTATATACTGTTGTCCTCCACGATTTTATTCACCTCTGTCCTCAATAGCGCGTCCTCTATCTCCATATCCGTGTCCGTGTCCTGGCTCTCTCGCAATTTTGGTAAACAGTCTAGACACTGTTCCTGGAAATCGTTCTCCCTTATCCTCAGAATGTCGGTTTTCGACCGTTCGAATGAACATTCTGAAGCGTCCTTGCGAGCCACGTTTACCTCTGACGCACTCAGACACGAAGATTTAGCAATTTTGATGGACATATTCGCGCCCAGAACGCTGACCAACGTGTCGTTCTGGGACATCGAATCGTCGGTTCGGTTTTCCAACTCGGGGCTGTCCAAAAGAATTTCCTCGTCGATCAGATTTTTCTTCTTAGCCTTGTCTTTCTTCTTCTCGTGCTTCTTCTTCTTCCCGGCGTCCTCCGCCGCCTTGACCTCCATTTTCACTGGCGTGGATATGGATTCCGGCTCGGAGGACACTTGATCGGTGATGACGTACTCGTCGTGATTCATGTTCTCCGTGATCTTGCAGATCTCCTCGTCGAGAAGCTCGTCCTCCAGCGTGTGGTGATGCGTGGCCTGAGAATTCATCAGGGAACTTTGTTCCAGCTGGCTGCTGCTGCAGCAGAGATCGCTGCAAGGGGCCTCTGGAACCACAGTCTTCGAAGCGTCGTCCCGATCCTCCTGGTCGTCCCTCAGCTCTGGAGGAACGTTCGTGGCTTCGTCGGCTGACTCGACTCTGTTCTCGTCGCTAGATACGTCGTTCTGACTGGCAGTGAAAAGATCTTCCGCGTTCTCGACGTCTTCCGCCGCGTTCTTCTTCGACTTGATGATCTGAAGCAGGTGAGACTGAGACTGATTGTGCTTTTTCAGGGAGCTCTTCCTGGTGAAACTGGTGGTGCAGACGTCGCAGAAGAACCTGGCAGCCTCCTTCGTCAACTTCTTCCTCTTCTCCACGATCAGAATCTCGCCCGTCTTCTTATGGACCACCACGTAGTTGCCAGCCGCCCTCTTCTTCGGCGACTGAAAGTCGTCCTGCGTCAGCGACAGACCGTCCAGCTTCTCGTCCATCTGATCCTCGTCCTCTTCCTCGTCCTCTTCGTCTTCAACCGATCTCTTGGAATCTTCGTCTTGTTTCTCAGCTTTGTCCCCATCTGGCTTTTCATCCGATACTTCGTTCGATGGCACAGCTTCTTCCAGTTTTTCCTCCTCGTTCAGTAGTTTCGTTTCTGCCTCCTGATCGACGTCGTTCTTCGCGGTGTCCTCCCGCGGAGATACGTAGTCTGGAATGTCCATCGGAATGTCGAAATCGTCCATCAGGTAGAACTCGGCGAAGAATATGTTCTTCTTGGCTCTCCTCTTCAGGATCTGTCTTCTGTCGGTAGTCCTCTCGGCCTCGACGGACTCCGAGTCAGTGGCGGATGTGTCCTCCCGCGACGCGCGAAGCTCCTTCCTCTTCTTCGAGTAGCGTTTCCTTCTCAGGTAACTGAAGTCGCTCACGCAGGAGGTCTCAGACAAGTTGTCCGCGCTCTCCACTCGCCTACCCTGTTCCGGAAGATCTTCCGACGACAACTGTTTCCTTTTCGAGGTTCTGGTTTTGCTGATTTGCTCTGTTTTACCCATCAGATCGAGGGAACTGGCGGAGCTCGATCTTTCCAGGTCGACGTCGTGTTTACTCTCGGGACCGTGTTTCTTTCCCTCGAGAAGGGGGTCTTTCTCGCGCAGGTTCTCCGGTTGGTCCTCCTTCTCCATCGACCTCTTCCTCTCCTCCAAACACTCTGCGCCACCTGCTTCTGATTCTGCTCGAGAACAACTGCTCTGAACATCTAGATTCTCGTCGGTGGTCGTCGATCTTCTCTTGTACGTCCTCTTCTTCGTGTGTTGCAGCAGTTCGGTTACTTCCGGAACTTTGAACGGCTCCACGTTCGACGAAGGGACCTGCAGATTTGCCAGGTGATTGAAATTCTTGCTCCGACTCTCGGCCTCCTCGGCGATCCTGTTCGTTCTCAGCGACCTTCTGGGCGGAAGTTGACTCGTCGCGGCGGAGTCGTGCTTTGGGGTTTCCGATGATTGCGTCTGATCAATTGTCAAACACTTTTTCTTTCTCCCGCGCTTTTTCGGCACTTTGGGCGGAACTGGTACCTCCTCGGTTTCCCCCGGCTCTTTCACGTCATCGACAGAAGCAGTTTGACCGGTTTGTTCTTTGTTCGTTCGCTGAGTTTCCTCCGAGTTCTTCGCGCTAGAATTTTCTTCTTTCTCTTTCGAGTGTTCTTCGAGACAGTCTGGCAACGTCGTCTGCACTTTTGGAGTTTCATCGAGTACAGTTTCACGTTTCTCGGACGATTCTTCCGCATTCTTCCACAGTTCAGTATTTTCAGTTGTGCTAGTTGCGCTGTTATTAGAGTTACTTTCGTTACTTTCGTTCATAGTTTTTTCCACGCTCTTTGGTCGAACCGTGAATTTCGTTCTGAAAGACCTCCTTCTCGGCCCTCTCGCGTTCTCCAGCGTCACCTCGCTCGTAGAGCTTTCCTTCGTTTCAGTGGACACCGTTTCATCTTCGGAACTCTGACTCGTCTTCTCTTCCTCTGAGGGATGCGACTTCCTCTTGTAGGATCTCCTGACCGGTGCCTGAACCTCGGAATACTGATCCATCTCTTCCACGCAGCATTTCCTCTTTCCAGTTATCCTCGACCAATTCTCCTCGCTCGTCGGTTCAACCTTTTCCTTTGTTTTCGCTGCATCAGCAACTTCTTCAGGTTGCTCTGCTTCTTCGTCCTTATTCTTTCTCGCACGTTCTTCTCTATTTTGTTCAACGGCCAGTTCCGTGACAATTTCATTAGAATTTTCAGCCGTGTCCTTTGTTCCAGGTTCTTCGCGTTGTATCTTGTCTCTGTCAACGTCGGTAGACAGATCATCTGGAACGTTTTCTTCAGCAGAAGGCACTTGCTTTGATTTTTCGATTAACTCTATCGAGTCGGTCAGAGGGTGCAACTCGTCGAAGATGACACTCTCTTCCGAATTGTCCGTCGATTCGACGGTTTTCTTCTTCGATTTCCCTTCCAACGATCGTTTCTTCGATCTCCTTTTCACTTTTGCTTCCTCGGTCACCTCTTCGTGTTTCTCCTTTTCTCCTTTCAGGCTCGACGAAGATGCATCCGTGACGTAACTCGCTGGTATTTTCAAAGTGTTTTCAATGGCAGGTAATAAAATTTTGTTGGTATTTATAGCAGAGCTGGTTTCGGCAGGAACGACACCGTCTTGTTCCTTCGATCTATCGATACAACTCTCCTTTTCGTCCGTGAAGGAGGTCTTTCCTTGCTCTTCCATCAGCAATTTCTTTTCAGTCTCATGGTCAGCTGTTTCTTCATTTTTGGTAATTATTTTTGACTCATCCATCGTTTCTTTTTCGCTTGGATTTTCTACTTTTGGCTCTAATTTCGTTGGAAGTTCGTTCAAATCATTTTCTTCCTTCTCTTCTTCGTTTTTGTCCAAACCGTAGACCGAATTGTCCCGGCTTGGATAACCTTCGTCGGACGGTTTTTGGCCTTTTTCACTTCCCTGCGCCGCGTCTCTAATCTTCTCTACTTTTGTTGCAGTTTTCGTCTGACTCGAAGTCTCGGCGTTTTCCGAGAAGGCGGGCCCAACTTCGTTCAGAATACTGGTGAGCTCGTCCGCGGCCGTGTCGAGCAGAGAACCAACTTCACCTTCCAACAACGCGTCCTTCTGTTTCGCTATTTTCGAGACGATCCTCTCCAAAAACGATCCCTTCCCTTTCTGTTTCCTTCTCGACAGATCCAGAATGATGTCGTTGGCCGGTGACTGTTCCTCGTCCTCGTTCGAGGACGATTCTCCTCTCTGAATCTTCTCCGTAGGTTTCTCCAAATTCTGATCGTTGGTAGCTTCAGATTGCTTTGGATCTTTCTCGTTGGAAATCCGTCGAACGCAAGGACTAGCCGCCATCGATTTATCCGGAACAGTTGCCAATCCTTTCAAAACCGTGTTTTCAGAAGATACGACACTTTTGTCCAAGCTTGAAGTCTTGCTAACGTCATCGTCAACCTGTGACGTGGCAATCTGAAGAGATACTGCGGATTCCACGTTGTCTGTGCCAGTCTGCGTGCTCAAAACACTTGGCTGCGCGTCCACGGGGATGTTTACGCCCTCTGTGAGAATCCCAATCACGTTGTTCAAAGACTTTTTGGAGGCCTGCTCCTTCCTGGCTCCCCAGGATTTCCTCGGCCTGCCGACTTTCAGCTTCTGAACGGGCGCTGGCCTCTCCAGCGAATTTTCTTTTCCACTGTCCACAGCGTTGCTACTCGTTTCCGCGAGCTTCGAGCCGATTTTCGCGTTCTCGTTCCTCTTGGTCGTTTCTCTGTTCTCCGAGGGATGGTCGGATCCTTTCGAATGCTCCCGCTCGTTTCTTTCCACTTCCTTGGCCAGTTTCGTCTCTCCAGTCGACCCGGTCTCTCTGCTATCAGAATTCTTCTCGTTCTTCTCCGCGGTCGAGTCGACTTCGTTCGCAGCTTTGGCTTCCTCGTTCTTCGTTTGGCATGCTTCTTGCGCGTTCCTTTTGTCAGACGTCACGTCGTTGTTGTTGGACTTGACTCTGCCTCGTCGTTTTCCAAGAACGTTCTTCTTCAGACTCGAGTCTGTCGGCTCACTCTGGACAACGTCCCCTTCGCCGGAATTCAATGTCGAGCCCCTGGTTTGCCTCTTTTCCGTATTCTGAACTGTATTCACGCTCGTTTCCGACTTGGTTTGCACGTCGAAGGACAATGGCTGACTGGAACCGACCAGTGACTTGCTTTCGTTGGTCAGACTGCTGCTTCTCCGTCCTCTGGCTGTCGTTTTTTCGTTCTTCGTGTCTTTCTTGTGCGTCTTTCTCAGCGACTTTCTCCTGGCGTCGAGCTTCTCCTTCTTCGTGGACGCGTCCGAGGTTGATCCCGAGTCTAATTTCACCCTTTCCACCTCCGGATCCTTTCGAGGCTTGCTCTTACTTTGTTCAAGCTTGAACTTCGACGCTGGTTGTCTGAGACAACGCTTGGACGTGGCAATCCTGGTAGTCAAGACCAGTTTCGTGAGCAGATCCTCCTTGCTGTCGGACCCGATCAGTTTCTTCACCTCGAATGGAACGTTTTGGATCTTTATGGGACTGTCGTCGTCGAGAACGTTCTCTAGCTTCGTCTTGACGTTGTTGCTTCTGATGGTTTCCTCCTTCTTCTGTTTCACCTCCTTCTTCAAACTCGTTTCTTCCACGGTTCCGGTTGTTCTCTTCTCTTCCACATTTGGGATCTTGGCCGGGGCACTTCTCCTCTTGAATTTCTCCTTGATCAATCCTTTGGCCACCTCCTTGGAAATGTCAGTCTTTGCCACGTCAATATTCTCCGTGGTTCTGTTCAAACTTTTCGCGTCGTTCTTCGCTCTTCTGCCTTTACCCGGCTTCTGTTCCTTCTCCTCCTCTTTTGTACTGCTCGCGCATCTTTTCTCCGGCTCCTGACTCTCCTGCTTCTTGGGATCTTCCTTGTCGTCCAAACACTTACCAATCATGGTCTTGCCGCGCAGGGTCTTCTCCTGAGTGGTGGTCGCCGGCGTAGCGGGGGACAAAATCGGCAAGTCGTTCGCGGAGGTTTCCGGGTACTCGTCCGTCGGGGACGACGCTCGAACAGCTGGCTCCAGTGTGGGCATCCTGTCACTGTCGGACGACAGCCTGGTAGTTCTTTTCGGGAAACTTTGGTCGCCGTTCTTACACTTAGCACCTGCTCTCAATTTCGACCTGGTGATCGATGACTCTGGACTAGTTTCGCTGCTTCGTTCCTTGGTTGTTGTTGTCAAGACCTGACCAGAGACCGGACACTTAAGCCCTCCTGCCCCGTCCGGGGACTTGTGAAGCGACGTGGTGGACTCCTTGTTGGGATTTCTGGCGAATTTCCCGTCCTGGGTCCTCAGCTGCGACTTGGCCTTGATAGAGGCGTTCAGAGAGGCGACGGGGTCCACCGGACGCTTCCGCTTAGGCATGTTACTCTGCGTGGACGACTTGCTCTTCAGACTGGGGGATCTCGCTTCCCCTGGACTAGCTTCGGTTCCCTCTCCCTCGGCCTCCTTTTCCGCGCTCCTCGGACAAGCTTTGCCGGTCTTCCACGTTCTCGCACCATCGCCAAACGTCTCCGTCTTCGCCTCGGACAGATTCTTCAGAACCGCCCTGGCCGTTTTCGCTTTCAGGTTCGTCCTCTTCACCTGGTCCAGGCTCCTCATCGTACCGTCTTTCGTCCTCACGTTCCGCTTCTTGCCCAGCACCCTCGGCCCCCTCGGCCCCCTCGTCGTTTTCGTTTTGTTGCCCCTTTCTTCCAGCGCATCGTCCCCTCCGACGAAGGACCCGTCGGCCGATTTCTCTTTGGTTTCCTTCTCCGGGTCGGTGATTCTCGCCGTGCTCGCCTCCCGTTCCTCCCCCTCCCCCTCCCCCGCCGCGGACCTCGCCAAGTCGGGAGCGTAATTCCTCACCACGCTCTCGATCACCGCGGAGATGTTGTCGATCCGGCATCGGTTCCGTTGGATCGACTTGGCGTTCTTCAACAGCTTGTTCCTCAGGGCGGCCTTGTTCCGGGACATTCGCGAGACGCTGGAATTCTCGCCGACTAGCCGCGGCCTCGTTCTGGTTTGCACCTGTACAGACGGCAAAGAAGCCTTCGTGGTACTGCGTCGTGTGTGCCTGTGTGTGTGTGTTTCCCCGCACTCGCTGCTCGCAGAAACTCGAAATTTTTTCTTTTTCGGTCAACAACCACTTCCTACGTGATTCACGTAGGCCAACGTGCTACGGGGGATTATTGTGATATTGTGGTTCGAGTCAAATCCTACGATTTTGAAGGTTTGGCCTGCTCACGCCTTGAGCGTATATTACGAATACTTTTGGAAGTGGATTTTAGTAATCTTATGGGTCGCAAGTATTTCAAAATTAGATATTTAGTTTTTTTTT